GCAGCCAGCGTGGCCAGGGGTGACGAGTCCTCTCGGCCGAACTGCAGGCGGTAGCCCAGTACCTGGTCCTCGGTGGTGCCAGCTGGGGGCTCCCAGCGTGCCAGCAGGCTGCCCTCGGGGGTCTGCTGCACCGACAGGGTGGGGCAGCCCAGCACTGCTCCCTTGGTCACTACCACCTTGGATTTGCTGCGAGCGCCATCGCCTTTCATAGTGTTGGCGGCTACAGTGATGGAGTAGGTGGTCTCAGGCTGAAGGTTTGTGATGACCATCCTGGGCATGCCTCGGCGCCCTCCATGCGCACATAGTGGACCTGGTAGCCGCGGATCTGGCCATGCTGCCGGCCTGGCAAGGGTGAGCGCCACAGCCCGCGGATGGCCGTGGCGTTGAGCGCCTCCGCCTCCACCTTCCACGGCGGCGGGTTGGGCACGTTCTCGTTGGTGCGGATGACCACGGTCGAGCTCTCGGGCCCTGGTCCCACCTCTGTATGAGTGACAGTCGTGATGGGGTACTCCGTCCACTTGTCCAGTGCCTCCAGCAGGATCTGAGTGGTGGTCGGGGGGATGCCGTTCACCTCCTTGGGTTGCGGGTCCTCCGAGCCCAGCGGTCGGTAGCGGACGCTTATAGCTCACCAGGGCCCCGTTGTGTGTTTCCAGCGTTGGCGGGGGCCAACTTAACAAAATGGCCGTGGAGCGTGTGCTGACACACTTAACATCTTGAGGAGGGGCAGACAGTTTGAACTGCAGGATGCGCTGCCGCACCACCGAGGTGAAGGCGCCCAGGCCCTGTGGGGAGCGTGCTGCCAGGCGGAAGGCATACTCCGTGTTGGGCTTGAGGTCGTCTACCACGAACGCTGTGGCGGGGTCGAAGGTCCTCCCGACCTCTCTGCCGTGGTCGCCTTCCCGGAACAGGAGCTCATACTTGACGATGCTCTCCTGTCGTGGGGGCTCCACGAGAGCCCGATGCTCGTCTCAGACTTGGCATTGGCCTGGAAGTTCATGGGCTGGCCCGGCACTCCCTGCTGCGTCTTGACCTGGATGGGGTCTGAGAGGGGCCCGTCGCCCACAGAGGTGAAGGCCAGCACGTGCACGGTGTAGGTCTCATCCTCCAGCAGGCTGCCCACCGTGGTCAGCAGGCTGTCGTCCACGTTGTGCTTCTGCCAGTTGACCATGAGGTGCTCGGGCTCCATGGTGTAGTAGATCCTGTAGCCCCGGATCAGCCCGTTGGGCTCCACATTAGAATCACCTGGGAATCTTTTTAAAGTCCTGATTTCTGGGCCGCATCCTCCGGGAATTCTGTTTCTTTGTTACTAATGTTGTGCCCCACCCCATAACAAAGAAACAGAATTTCCGAAGGAAGAGGCCCAGAAATCAGGATTTTAAAAAGATTCCCAGGTGATTCTAATGTGCAGCCAAGGTTGAGAACCACTGGTAAGTTCTGATGTCCAACGAGTTTTTCCTGGTCTATTGTTCTCCTGTGGTGGAAAGCTTGCAAATGGCCGTTAAGGATTATATTGTACTATCGGCCTAACACTACATTTTTTAATCCTCTCTCTCATCCTTCAAAATCTGCTCTCTTGAATATTTCTAAAAGTGCAACAAATACTTAAAAAGAATGATGGAGGCATGAGTGAGGAGGTCCTTAGCAAAACGTTAACTACATATTCTATGAAGATATACTAGAATTCTTCATGAGTTCTTTGCTAGCCTCTTGCTTTAGCCAAGTAGGATAATAATGGCATTATTGATCACCTCTAATTTAAAAACCTTAGTCTATTTATATGTGAACTGAAGCTCTCTGTTACTGAGTAATTTCAGGGGAATCCAAAACATGTTTCTGATTTTCTTGCATTTATCTCATAAAAATGTTTAGAAAGGGCCCCTTTAATAAACTTTTTAAGTTATCTTTTGCCTTCTGTATCAAGGATGGCTATTTCTTTTTGCAAAACCACAGTGCTGTACTTTCAATCAAATATGATGTGCAATCTGAATTAGGTTTTAAAAATTTGATTGAAGAGTGAAAAGCAAAATTCTAAATTCATAAAAACCTCACTGAAACTTCAAGTTTCCCATTTAAATCACCTTCATACGTTGAATTTAGATTCTAGGCATATCTTCGAATCTGAAGTTTTAAAACTCAAACCTAAGTTTACTCTCCTCAACTTTATACTCTTCTATATAAAACAAACAAATGAACAAATGAGAATTGCTTTCTTTGGTGTCCACACAAAAATATATTTGGCTTCTTTTGCGGTATATAGGATTTGGCCTAGATTAAAAAGAACATCCTAACTTTGTCTAACCGATAGACTGGAGAACCTCTGGGTAGAATGGTTAAAGGATGGCCCAAATATTCCAAGACTGTAAATGCCTGGATTCTAAAATAGCTGAAGCTTTAGAGATTAACTAATAAACTAATGGATAGGGCTAAGGAAGCAGAGAGGCAAAAAAGACTATAAGAAAGTTTCTAGGCATTTATAACAGTTATAACTACAATTTATATGGTGTACCAGGTATTAGTCTAAGGGCATTACGTGTGTCTGCCCTTTTATTTGTGCAGCAACTCTAGGAGATTGGTACTATTATCCAATTTTATAGATGGAAAGCAGAAGGCACTAAGAGGTTAGCAACTTGCCAAAAGACACACAGCTGGCAAGCGACAGAGCTAGGATTTAAACATAGGCAACTAGGACCTAGATCCATATATACTACTAAATTTGTGCACGGGGCCGGGGGGGGGGGCGTGGTCCCGGAGCCTGGCCTGCACCCTCTCTAATCTGGCTCCTAACTGCTCACCTGCCTGCCTGTTTGATCACCCCTGACCACTCTGTCTGCCAGCCTGCTCATGCCCAACTGCCCCCCCTTACCAGCCTTCTCATCACCAACTGCGACCCCGCCCCCGCCGCCGGCTTGCTAACACCCAACTGCCCGCCCCCCACCAGCCTGATAATGTTGTAAGTAATAGGAAATACTGTATTTGTAGCAATAGTATACACCCTGTGACTTCCCTTCCTGATTTGGGAATGGTTCCCCAGTTCTTTGAACGTTTCCTGGCCCCTGATGTATTTGGAAAGAAAATAGCTCTGAGTTTGGAGAAATTAAATTACATTCATGATTCTAATTCACCTGCCTCCTGTACTTCCAGCCAGATAACATGAAAAACATTCCTGGGGCCGGTGCCTCCAATGGCTGAGCTCCGGAGTGAGGGCCCAAGGCCCAGCGCTGGGTGGGTGACAGTGACTGGAGGCACCTCGGGTCCATCCTGCAGTCAGCACAAAGACTGGGTCCCTCTGCTCCCAGCCCCTCCCAAGCCCCGGTGCCACCTAATGAAGTCCCCAGGCTGAGCCCCAATCCTGCTGCCCTATCCTTGCCAGGGACTGGGGTGTGGCAACGCGGGGCGGTGGTGTCCCATTTTCATTAAAAATGTTCAACCTGCGCCCACTCCACCGATGTCTGCAGATGGCCCGGGGGCAGACAGTGATCCCAGAGGCCCCCGCCAGAGCTCAGCCAGGATGGTCTGGGGTGAGACAGCCCTGCCAGGCTCTGTGGCTGCGACTTGGACCCGCTTCCTTAACCAGGGACCTGGCGCTGAGCGGGCGGCAGCGGTGCTTCCTCCCCAGCCCACACTGGAGCGAGTCCCTGTGGTTTCAGAACCGAACTCCAAGGGCCTCCCCGGGTGGCAGTGGCCCTGAACCTACTGGTACTCCCTCAATCCTGCCAAGGCTTGCTTTTCACACTTGCTGAAAACCTTCTCAGTCCACTTGCCATAGTAATCAGTTTGGGCTGAAAGAACTGGGGGACTTCGGCTGCTTGCCTGCTGTTTCCCCCCACCCCCACCCCAGGTGGGACTGAGAGGACTGGGGGGCTTTGGCCGCTCCCCCCAGCAGGTTGAAAGGACTAGGGGACTCGGTAGGGCTGAGGGGACTGGGCACCACCATCTTGTGGCTATGGTGTTAAAGTAATAAGTTTAGTTAATATAAGTTAGCATAAGCAAACTCCATTTTGTATTAGTATAAGTTAGCATAAGCAAATTTCATTTTGTATTAGAGGGAATTTTAACTTTACTTAGAAGAGGAACTAACGTGTGTGTGTATGTGTGACCCTGATAAATAACTTGTAACTCCATGCCTATGCCCCCCTAATAAACAACTTGTAACTCCCTGTGTGTTTATCCTGATAAGCCCAGAAGGCACCCCCGGAGCACACTGATATGAGACACTGAAGAAGCCCACCCGTCAAGTATAAAAAGAAGGACTCTCACAGCAGCAGTTAGACGCCTGTCTGACCTCCACAAACAAGACATTCTCCTTCCCCCTGGAAACTGCAATTCCTGCTCTGCTTCTGAGCCCAGACTGTTAGAGGCCTCTCTTCGTGTCAAGAGACCGAGCACCTGCAGCTGCGTACCTGATGACCTCCGTGTGTCTCTGTCAGCGAGTGTCTCCGGGTGGCCTGCCAAGGACTGAAACCCATCAGCTCTCTGGTAAATAAACCTGTGTGATTCTTGCATTTTGTTTTCTGTGTCTCCTCTCTTCTTGGTTTTAGTTTAATCTTGGCCTAATTAATTAATAATAAGTACCCTTTGACGTCTGTATTGGTATATCCAAATGAGGCACTCTAGGTCACCTGTGCATATGTTCCCAAAGAAGTGGAACATTTGGGTGCCACCATCTTTGTGACAGTGTGATGATCAATTTGCATATTGATGCCTGAAGACGTTCCATCCTTGCTGCTTGACACAGTTGCTGCAGGGAAGAAACATCCACACAGCATATGTTCCAAGGGACCTGGTGTATATGGCGTACTGTTTTTAATATGTTTGCTCCCCTTCTTAGCGCTATGTGTTCTTACCAGGGCCACCTCCCTGGGAAAGGTTGTTTCCCCAGCTGGGAATGTTTCCCTAGAGTTAGGAATTAACAGGACTAGGGAAGGGAATGAATCAGTAAACCCCCCTAGTGTTACAGAAATACCATGTACCACTTATGAGGAACTTAGACTAAGACTGTTAGCAATAAATTTAGGACTTGCTAGGCCCACATCCCCAGGGGTTTACCCACCAGAGAAAGTACCAAAGTCTATAACCCCTAAAAACCCACCAACGCAGGGCAGTCCCAAGGAAGACCACCAGTAAGGCTAAAAGGACAACTATCAAACAGTTAAAGAAATACCACTGCAAACAATGCAAGCAGGCTCCTTATCTAAAAATCTTACGTGAGCTATGCAAGCAGAAAGACTTAAACTAAGTGCCAGGCAGGTAGTTAATCGCCATAGCTAAGAACAATCATGCTTAAGCTACATAACCTTTACTTAGGCCAGTGGTCGGCAAACTCATTAGTCAACAGAGCCAAATATCAACAGTACAATGATTGAAATTTCTTTTGAGAGCCAAATTTTTTAAACTTAAACTATATAGGTAGGTTCATTGTTATTAACTTAATTAGGGTACTCCTAAGGCCACACTCAAGGGGCGAAAGATCCACATGGGGCTCGCAAGCCTCAGTTTGCCGACCACTGACTTAGGCCATAGAATAGGAAAACCTCCTTCAGTTTTTTCCTTATAGCTTGATAGTGGAGCAATAGAATAGTAACCTTAGAATAGAAATAACAAACTAGCCCTTATAATGGAACACAGAGACTAACCTTTAGAATAGAATGTAGAAACATAGACAATAGATAAGATTAAAATCAGTAGAGCTAAATAGAAATAAGATTTTTAGCAAAAGTCAGGTAAGAAACTGTAAATATAAAACAAGAAACTGTAAAAGGTCAAAGAAGGACCCAAAACATACCATGATGTAACTATAGAGGCATGGTTATAGAATCAAATAGTATAAATACAGTTGTAACAGGGCAATAAAAAAGAACCTAATTATGCTGATCATCTGAATGCTGTCTCCATGTCCTTCATTCTTTGCTGACACCATCCACACCTTTGGGGATCCCTGGACCGCTGAGACTGGACCCCTGCATATTCCATCTTTATTAGATAGGATATGTGCCCTCAGTAAAAGATTAGTTCCTTTTCTCTCCTTCACCCTCCCAAATACCAGCACTCAGATGCCTGGAACTCTACAGATACATAGCCCTTTGGCTTAAGACTTTATATTCTATTAAATGGGTTTTGTTCTAAAAATTTGTTTTTAAGTCCTTGGCAACCCAGAATGCATTCTCCTATTAGAAACATTATACATGGTAGTTAAGCTCTCAGGTCAAACTGTAGAAATCTATTTAACTTTTGTAAAACTAAAGCATAGAAATAATAGGACTGAGGAAAGGAAGAAAATAGTGACCAAATAGGCAGAAGTACTGTGCACCTCCTCCTGGGACTGAAAAAGCAACTAAATCAGAGAATGTCAACCCAGAATTAACAAATTAGGCACAGCTGACGAGACAATTTTCAATAAAGAAGGGCAGAGAACACCTGAAGAATGGGAACCCATGCCATCTTGTAGAGGGGAACAATGGAGGCCAGGAGTACTGCCACACCAACATCCAGACCAACATTGGACAGCACCCCCAGACCTACTCAGGGAGCTGCTGGCCAGCCATAACCTGCCTGGAACCACCATTGTGCCCTGGCAGTGAGCAGAACAGTATCGTGACAGGGGTCCCAGATGTCTGTAGTGAGTGCAAGCCAGAGAGAAACTCCTGAGCTGCACCTCCTTGCCGGAGCCCAAACCCAGCATCCCAGGACCCCACACTTCAGGTCCCAGTGCTGTGAGTGCAACCCACTCAATCCCTGGTCCTACTACAGAGGCACAGACTGGTGCACGCCCCACCCCCGCCCAGACAGAGCCTCAGGCTAGTGCCCACTCTGCACCCACCACAGACCTGTCACCTGGTGTGTACCCTACCCCCAGCCTAGGTCAGAGCTGCTGGTGCAACCTGGTGTGCCCAGCCACAGGTCACAGGATCATGCTACAAGTGCTCCCAGAGAGACCTAGGGTACCATCCTGCCTTGGGTGCTGGGGCCACACAGTGAATTGAATGCCAGAGGGCTCTGGGCCCTCACAGGGAGTCACACACCAGAGGAACTGTGCATGAGCACCCGCCGATCCCAAGAATCTGAAGTGAACAACTAAGGGACCAGAATCATGGCAGAAGGGGGTACAACTCAGAGCAGAGACAATAAAGTTGTGAAACTCAAAGAAGACCCAGCCCCTGGGCTAGCGAGTTCCAGATCATTGGTCCACTAGGGGCTTCAACTCCTCGGACCCCAAGCAGGGAGCCCAGGGCCAGAAAGAGACAGCAAAAATGGGGAGACAAAGAATCAACCCCCAAAGGAAAGAAAAGGAGGAATCATCAGAAAAGGAACTAAATGAAGAGGAGGTGCCAGACCAGTGTGGCTCAGTAGTTGAGCATCAACCTATGAACCAGGTCACGGTTTGATTCTTGGTCAGGGCACATGCCCGGGTTGCTGGCTCGATCCCCAGTGCAGGAAGCAGCCTATCAATGATTCTCTCCCAACACTGATGTTTCTATCCCCCTCGCCCTCTCCCTTCCTCTCTGAAATAAATTAAAAAATATATTTTTTTAAAAAGAAAAGGAGGCAAGCAATATTTCTGAGAAAAAATCAGAGTAAGGGTCATAAAGTTTCTAAACCACCTGGAGGAGAAAATCAACAACCTATGTAAGAATCAAGAGGAAATGAAGAATGATATAACTACAATAAAGAACACAATGGAAGATTTCAACAGTACACTAGAAGAAGCAGAGGACCAAATCAGCTAGTTAGAAGACAGGAATTGGAGAAAAAAATTAAAAAGCAGGAGGAGAGCTTAAGGGAGCTTTGGGACAACATGAAATGAAGCAACATCCATATAATATGGGAGCCAGAAGGACAAGAAGAGGAGCAAGGATTAGAAAATCTATTTGAAGAAATAATGACAGAAAACTTGCCTGATTTAGGAAAGAAAAACGCCACACAAACAGAGACTCCCAAACAAGATGAATACAAAACAACCCACACCAAGATACATCGTATTAAATTGGCAAAGATAAAAGACAATGAACCTTTAAGGCTGCAAGAGAGAGACGGAAGGTTATCTACAAGGAATCTCCCATTAGACTGTCAATTGATTTCTCAACAGAAACATGAGAGGCCAGAATGGGATGGAATGAAGTATACAAAGTGATACAAAGCAAGGGACTAAATCCAAGAATACTTTACCCAACAAGACTATCATTCAAAGCTGAAGGTGAAATCAGGAGCTTCACAGACAAAAGAGGCTAAGGGAGTTTACTACCACCAAGCCAAGAATGCAAGATATGCTAAAGGGACTGTTATAAAGAAGAAATAGAAAGGGAGGAAGGAACACAGGCATAAAGAGTAAAAATGGCAACAAAC